CAAATGCATGAGGAAACCTCTTTGTTCATCTCTTTGCTTAATGATGCTGTTTTAGTGAAGGCATCTACATACATGATGGAAAAACATGTTCTTGGAGAGTAAAATTGGCCTTTTTTTGTGAAGTGCTAGTGGTCAGTATGTATTGTTTCCTTTGTTGATCTCCCGTTTTTGTACTGCATCATTTTGTGGGCATACATTTGGCATAATGCCTCTGGTGTACAACCAAATCAAAGCTATATCTGGTAAACAGAATGCAGAAAGGAAACAGAAGTTGAAGTAGCTGGTGGAATTGCTTAGGAACTCCAAATCAGCTATCCATCTGCTTGGCAATGTAAGGAGGTGGTTATAGAAAAGGTGGAAAAAGAAGAGAAAGATATAGAGAAGTGGAAAATACATATCCAGTTCTCCTTCCCAGTACTTAAACTTGCTGGTCTTCCTTAACTGTGAACTCCTAGGACATCTAGCTTGTTTTGTAGCAACAAAAGTTGTGAAAATTTCTCAATAAATTTTGCAAGACAGAAAATGCAGAAAAGAGGGTTATGAAGGTAGATATAGAACTGTGACATATTCACAGCTGATCAATGTAGAACATGTTGCAGGCCTGCTTCAGCAAATTATACACATAATTGAAGCACACATCAGAGATATAAATTTTAAAAGAAAACAGTTTGTAAATTGCTCAAGGTATTTAAAAAAGATTACTATTGGAAAGTGAAAAAGAAACAGTGTTCTCATTTGCAAGTACTCAGGAGACTTCCTGTGCTATGACAAATTAGGATTTGTAAGCCTGTTTACAGGAAGAACTTGATTTTGGCTCTCAGTGGATCTTTCCTGGCCTTAATGTATTTTACCAAATCTTAGATTTCCTCATGTATTGTGGTTTGTTAAACTTCATCCTGTAATACATTTTGTTAGAACTCTACTGCTGGTAGTGTATATGCTGGTGTTCTTTGCTTTCAAAATTTGCCCCTATATTTTTTTCCCTAGGGTGCCCTTTCCCTGTAAACCCAATTGTTGTGTCTTGCAAATGCTTGTTCTGTTATGTATGAAAGATCACTTATATTCTTTGTATTCTTGATGGCTAGTAAAGCTCTTGTGGAGACGATATTTTCAGAAAATTTGTCAGGAAAGTAATTTGCAGATTTGCACACCAATGTTAAGCTTTATTCATGTAGATTTCTCAGTCCATAAAGTGTTCAAATGGCTGTCCCAGAACAAAGGCAATGCCTTTAATATTGAGGCCTTTGATCTCTTTTGCATACTAATTATCAGTTTGGGCTTTCATTATGGTACTTCTTTAATTTCTTTTTTATTTTCTTTTTTTCATTTTAGTTCTTTTCCCTGGTATTTCATATTAATTTCTAGAAGTTATTTTTATGTGACTGTCTGTAAGTATTACATATTGTTATAGTAACTTTTACATTATACCTCAGTATGATATTGTAAAATCACCAGCAGCAAACCCTCTCCATTACATCATTGTTATCCTGTTATACATAATAAATTTTTCTTGAAGGTAAATGCTTCCTGAAGGTACAGTCTTTTTTGCCAAAAATGTTATTTCACAATTGCTTTCTTTCCATTTAGAGGTAGATTAGTTAAATGTTGGGCACCCTGGTGTAGATTTATACATGAAGAGTGACCACTATCTGTCTTTTTCCCAAGAACAAGGTGAGTTTGAGTATTAGCTAAGGAGGAGACAGCACAGAAACAGGACAAGTCTTTCAGGAAAATCTTGTGCAAAACAGAGAAGGTCTTACTGTGAATCATTTATATGAAGAGACAAATACTTGAATGTAGTGACCACAGATGTTTGGGAATAATCAGAAAATGTAGTTCTTTTAAAGACGTATTCATCTGATAACAGCACTTCAGTCCCTGCACCTGGAAGCATTCTGAAGAGTGAGAGCAACCAGAAATGATTGCCATATGCTTTATTTTCAACACAGGTCTGATGTTCAGACTTTGACTATCTATACACATTTCACGGAAAGCTATGAGGAGAAGAGATGAAGAGCTGGGATTCCAAGTACACAGTAGGAAGATAGTGAGTTGAGGAGCTTCCTCTTATTCTTTAAAGTGGGGCACAAATTTGTGTGGAAGCAGCTCTGTCTTTATTTCAGACTGACCTTGTGCTGCTGTGATACCCTTCCTGCTCAAAGCCCTGGCCCTGTGTTAGCACTGCTTTTGCATGTGGCTACTGACACTTTCCAAGCAAGGCTGCAAGGCTCACCTGAAGCCCTATTTCCCTCACAGGTGGATCACAGTCTTTGGCTTTTTTCTTGCAGTTGAACTCCCTCAGGGAAGGGTCATCTTGAACAGCATTTTGTCATTGTTTCAATGTGTAGAAACAAATGTGCTGCAAACCTGACACCTATGATGTTGCTGGCTTGCTGGTCTCATTAAACACATTCCAAGATTGATTTCCTTTACAATTTCTGTCCTGGGTATTTCTTTACTCCTGTAGGTGTCAGTTAAAACAGATCAATTCCACTGTATGCATTGGGTAAAATAACTAGGGAATAGAAAGCCCTTCTTCCATCAGTCTAAGTAAGCAGCTTGGGCACACGTATTGACCTTCTCCCCTTAATTTGATATTAGGATTTCAAGAGCTGCGGTAGTGTTTCGTCAACATAATTAAGACAGTTTTAGTTTCTTTCTGCACTTCTGCTTCTTGTTGCCTCCTCAAGCTGCAGGTCCCTTGTCAAACAGCAGTCTATCTGTTCCTCCCTTGAGTTATATTTGAGTCTCCTTCTCCAGTCTGATCTCAGGGGCTTTATACTAAAGGGAAAGGCTGGGAATGTTACGGAAATCCTTTTAGTTCAATAAATTTAGCTTCATAAGTCAAAAGCCTTCTTAATTCTCACTGTAGGTTTGCATTTTTGGAGGCGTTCTAACTATTCCATTTGTATCCCAGTGTGACAATCCACTGTAAATTTCAAGGAAGGCTTTTCAGCTGTGCTAACTTGGATGACCAATCATGAATTTGAAGTTCTCCTTTTCAGCCCTTCAGGATATAACCAAAGAAACAAACGGAACACCAAAATGTAGCTTGTTCTTTTTATATGTTTCTTAGTTTTGTTCTTACAGCTGCACTTTATGTTTGCCATGTGCTGATTTTCTTGATTCTGGTTCTGTATTTAAGGAATTAATTTGTGATTATCCGGGGTCCTTTTAATGAGTTAATTCCAACCACAAAATCCATCACACAACTGTTTGTCTTCTGGGATCCAAACCTAAATTTGGAGACAGGTCTGTGTGTTCACATCTGTATGTGTTACATACCATACATTTGATGAAACTGGGGCTTTGTTACTAACTGATAGAGAATGTGAGTGAAGTGTAACCAAAATAACTACAATTTTTACACCTCAGCAGTTTCCCCCAGAGTAGGACTGTCATTATAATTGTTTCTCTACACTTTTTTTCCCATTAAGAAAGGACAGTTACTAACTGCTTATGCCTGAGAAAATTTGGAAATTAACAATGATATGAAAAAGACATTACTTTTTGTTTTACAAACCTTACCTCATGCAGCCAGATGAGAGCACTAAGATTGTGTAGGTAATTGGCTTTCCTGCACCCTGTGTTTTTAATTGCCTGGATATGCAGTCAGCTCAAGGTACATTTCTTGTGCTCTAATGAATATTAACATAAAGGTTTATTTCTAGGTAGATCAGCATTGGAAGAGCTTCTCAGCTGTCTTATAAAAATAATTTAGAGTAATACATTGATACCAAAGCCTTGCCACCCAATAAATTAAACATAGAATTTATTATGTAATTGTGTGCGTATTTTACCTGAGGACATCAAGGTGGCTTTTGAAAAAATGCAGCATCCCCCAGAGTTTCTTTATATCATGGCAGTAGGTTGACATTGATTCAGGAATTGTTATAATTTAGATAAAATTTGAGTTATGTCATTTCAGGTGAAAAAGCTAATTTAAACCTTATGTAATTTTTAATTCACTCTTTGCAATTATTTGTGACTTGAAAAAGCAAGTAAATAAAGCTCTTCTTTCCTGACATGGTGTTTTGGATAAAAGACATCTACGTGAATGCAATATGAGGAGTTTTAAGGGCATGTCATTTCTCAGCTGAGAAAACCTCATCTAGTTGTGTACAAATGAGTGCAGCACAATGCATAGAGTATTCATGAACATTTCATTAATGTTGCTGCCAGAGTAAATAGGGAGCAGTTTTGAAATTCCTCTGCTATCCATATTTATAGAAGGTATTGAAACAAATGCATATGTTGGATGTTGTTTGGGCTTGTACCTGCCTCTGATGTAGCTGTGACTTTGACTATGTCATTTAACTACATGCAACTTTTTTCCCACTTGTGAAAAGAGAAAATGGTTTCCATGATAATGGTTTCCTTCCGATGGAAGTTACAAAGTTTGTAGATGGCTCAAGCTCTTGAGGAGGAAGGATTTCTATACTAGAGTTATGAAAGAAGTGCATGTGCTGTGACATTGCTGTGAGCTCTCTTCAGTGTCCTGTCCCACACTGATCTGCTATGTGAACTTGTCACTAAGAGCCAAGTAACTTAAACTTCACCAAATAAAAAAGTTCTAATTGTATTTACCCATCTTTGTCAAAAAATTTTTGTACCTGCATAGGCAATGAGCTCGAGGACTTGTAGCAGCTGTTTTTGTGATTGAAGATTTTGCCAGTTTGCCTCTCTCCCCACCCCTTGTAAGTGTGTATGACTAGTCATAATCAGTATTCCAGTCTGCACATATGGATGCATTTTGATTCATTTAATGCTCTTTAATTTCAGTCAAGTTTCATTGCAGTGAAGGATCTCAAATCTGAGTCTATTCCAAATACCTGTTCAAGACTGTAGGAGGTCATGGTTGTTTATGGTTTGCATTCAAAGCAGAAGGTCTAATTTTAGTCAACTTACAGGAGTCGACTGCCTCTGGTAACTGTGCATCATTTCTATATTTCTGTAAGTGTGTATTTGTCTGTGATACTACTGTATATGCTGTATTTCAGGAAAAACAGAGATTTCTGACAGATGTCTTACATGAAGTGATGTTGCTGGATGGATTGTCCAGTTCACATCCAGTATCCCAGGAAGTGCAGCAGGCCTCAGACATCGACAGGGTATTTGACTGGATTGCCTATAAAAAGGTGAGACTAACTAAGCTTATCTATATGATACCGATATGACAGTAGCTGTAAGAAGATTGTGTTCCATCTGTAAAAGAAATACCATTGTAAAACTACATATGGGAAACTCATCTGTGTGGAATGCATTTGGAATATTCTACAGTGATTATAGCCAATTACGTTCAACATATCAAGTGTTAGTAAATGTTATAAATAAACTTGGGAGGCTGTCAGAATTCAGTAAGAAGATTTAGGGCTTTTTATTACTATTTATTTTGTGACAGGGTCTGAACTGTGTTAGATGATTTAAAAAGTAGAAGAATATGTAGTTTTTGTCCTGCTGAAACTCTCTAGAAAACTTAGCAAGGGCTAAATTTAACAGTAAAGTTTTTTCTATGCATGAGAGTTTTTCTGTCAGCTAGTGAAAGCTCTGAAGTCATTTGCTGAACATTGAGAGTGGAAAAACTGCCTTGTGGTGTGGTGATGGAATATGTATTAAATTCAAGCCGTTTTAAATTTCGTTTCAATTATTTGAAAATAAAATTTGATCAGTTTCTGGATTCAACAGCTTCTGTGCAGGAGTGAGAGGTTTCCTCTCCTCCATAACATGATTAGGCTTGCTGTTAGTACATGGCATGAAAGCTGGTGTTTCCCATCATACCACATGCTTATTCTCTGCTACAGACTATGGCATATGAAACTCTGCCTGGGTATCATGGCCAAATGTGTTTGCTGTGTGACACAGTGGGTACTGCCTGCAGCCTTCCTGTACAGGAGCTCTCTGATGATGATTCAGTTGCAGGAGTCTTTTGACTACAGCCTTTGTGTCTAATAATCTTTTCTTCTGCATCATTTTCTGCCTAACATCAGACTGTAGCAAGGCAGCATAGAACTGACTTGGTGACTGAACCTCCAGTTTATCCAGGGCTCATTCTGGGCTGAAAAAGAGGTGTTATCCTCTCCTGTAGTCATAAGTTATTCCTAGACCACAATAACTTCTCCTTGGTCCCCTTGCATGAAAGGATCATACGCCTTTAAGGATGGGCAAATGAGAGTGTGTATGTGTGTGTGGGTATATGTGGCCATGTAATATGTACCTATGATGTAATAAAAAAACACAAAATACTTAGGAAAATATTTTAAAATGCTGAAGTTGTTCAAGAGTCCAAGTAACATTTTCAAAAATCCCTTAGCTATACTGGAAAATATTGCTCTAGGTCAATTAGGCTATAACAGCCAGCAGCTTTTATCATACTGAATATTCCTGTTGTTTAAATCTTTCAGTCTGTGCTTTCTGGTCATAGAAACCTTGGTAGGTTCAGGGTACTGAGGTACTTATCTCACATGAGTATCTTATCTTCATATTTCAATATAATTATTTTTCTAATTTATACAGTAATAGTACTATCTTATAGTTAACTGTAGTACATGACAATTTTATGAACACTCTGCAACCATCAAGTAATTTTCATTTACATTGAAATGACAAATAGGACAATAGGACACATCTGTATACTGATAGCTATTTTATGTAGGCTAATAGAATCAGTCTGTTTTTTGTGGAGATTACAGTACAATCTTGGTCTTGTATTTATCTATGTAAATGTTCCTTTTTCAGTATAACAGTGGCCATGCCCAGTGGATACAGCAGCATCTCTCCATTTAGCTGCTCTGGTGGCCAATTCTCCTGAGTCTTAGTTGACATTGGATGTGTTCATATCAGGGCATGATCCTGTAAATTTTGAGCCCAGTTACCAGATCTAGCAAACTACCTTAGAGACTGGCAATGGAAGAATTTACTTACACACCTTCATAGGTGAGAAGATTAAAATAGCCACTCTTTCACTTATGAAGTCTTTTTATACCTGTCTGGTAGTTTGTCTGCCTGCTGTTCTCTGTAGCTGTTCATCCTTTTGGTTTAAGATACAAGCTTAATTGTTTAATAGGAAGCATAGAAGTTTAATTATTAGCATACAAGCTGAATGTTTAATAGGAAGAAGCTTTCCTGACTTACTGTGTAGGTGTTCTTTTCAGTGTTTGTGTACCTTCCTTGACACTGCTCCTTCTGAGGATAAATTTGAGCAAATGCAACATATCTTACATCTTTCATTGTTTCTTTCCTACAAAATCTTACATATATGCATGCATTTCTTACACTGAAAATCAGCTATGGAAATAAGCCCATTTATTAGATATTCAGAATAGAACCTATTCCTCCAGCTCTCTAGTGTCTGCCAGTATAAATACTGTGCAGAATAGTATGTCAATAAAATCCAAATTGTAAAATTACACTGAAGGCTTTCACCTGGTCAGGTGTGTGCTCAAGTATTTTCAGGTGCCACAAAGCCCTTGTCACACAATGAACCCTGCTGGAGGGAAATTATTACTGGTGTTTCTGGGGTGACTTTTTGGTTGTCTTTGGTTGAGTGACTTTTTAAATTGCTTTAAAATATTAAGCTGTCAGGAATATTTTTTCTATCGACTCCACTAAACTTTGGGTCAGGACCATCAGTGAGGACTTTTCTACTGTCTTAAATAAAATATTTTAAACAGTTTACCATTATGTGGAGTATCTGTTCCCTACATTTTGGATTTTTTTTTCCTTTAACTTTTTTTAAAAATGTCCATCTTGTGCTCCCTAAGCCCTGGGATTGCTCATGTGATCTCTTATTATCTCTTCACAATTTTCTAAATGATATTGAAATGATGAAACTTTCTCCCCTGTAACTTTTGTTCAGTGAAATGACAGTCATAGAATGTCATTGTTATTTCAGTGTCTTTACTGTCATAAATATGGCATAAATCAGACACCATGAAAAGACCCATCTCTGCTAGACACTCAGATGTCATTCTGAAGACACGCCTTTTTCTACACATTGCAGAAATGGCCATTGAAAATGTTCTATTTGATTGCCTCAGAGTTGAATATATTTTTCATTTCCACTTTCTCATCCTTGGGTGATTGCATGTGTGAAGAAGTCCATGGCATAAACCCCTGAAGAATGGTATTCAGGTAATCCCACAAGCAGGGTGAAAAAGACACTACAGCCTGGCAGCACACAGTGTTTTTCCACTTAAACGGTTGAGGGTAAATTTTGCCTCTTTGAAAAGCATGATTCTTCAGATAGAAGCATGTCATCCTCCACTAGGGCCACAAAAAAGTAGAGAAAAATGAGAAGTCGTGATAGTTCATTAATAAACAGTACTGGTAGATGATTCAAGACTCTCAAGTTGCATCAGAGAGTGCATATGTCTTCCTAGTGCAGCTGGAAGTGAGATAGTGTCCTCCCACAATGAAGGGAAAAGTGGTTATATCCCAAGTGCAGTAGAAAATATAGCCTGTTGAACACAAGAGTAGAACTGAGAATTGTTAAATCAAAGCAAAAAGCGTGACAGCCTTTCCACACCAGAAATAACTGACAGCAGGAATCATAGCCCTAGAGAGCTGCAGCATCAGAGGAGGAGAGAGTGCAGCAAGAATAACATGAGGAGCAACAATCAGCATGGAACAACCGGCTCTAATAAAATGGAGAAACAAGGCAGCTGCATCTCAAAGGGAGCAGCCAGACCCAGAGCAACTTGAGGGAGAACATCTCAGACAGAACTAAAGGAGTCATAGCCCTAGATGAGCAGCCACAGCCAGATAAGAGAAGGGATGAAAGGACATGTAGAGAGCCAGATATCTGAAGTAGTTTCTGTCAGCTTGCCGCATCCTTTGAAGTGTGCTGGTTGAAGATTCTGGCAGCAATCAGTGTAGGCAACACCATTATGATGGTGTAGCTATAAAAGTACCCCCAAAAGAATATGCCTTGGCAAGTGAAAAACACTAATCAAAACAAGGAAGAGGATGACTGGGATAGGGAAAAGTGTTCATTTTTTCCCTTCCTGTAAGATAAATTAACCTCAGCAGTGAGATCAGTTACTGGCCTTGATTTTGTAATGCAAACAATTAATTATTTCCTAAACCCTTGTATGTATAATTTCCTTTTCCTTTTTAACTCTATGCCACATCTTTAAAATTTCCTTTTTCTGCTTTCAGTGTCAAGTGATGGAAAGATTTATTTCTGATAATAATAAAGGGAAACCGTGCTTCCTATTTTGCCCTCAAAAGCAACATTCGGCATTAGGAGATGTGTTTAACTAAAATTTTACACAAAGGAAAATGCACTTCTTCCTTGCATTCTGGCAAAGGAGAATTTAAGAAATTGAAAGCAGTAGCTTGCTCACCCTTTTGAGTGTAATTCTCTTTGAAAATTTATAGTGTAGCATGTTCTGCAAGAATGTGGAAGAACAGGAGGGCTAATACAGTCACTGGAAAGGCTCTCTAAAAACTTCATTATTTTTACTTCTGTTCTTCAGGCACTGAGAAGCACATTCGCTCTGAAATAACAAAATAAAACCAAACCAAAACAAAACCGCCAAACCATCGCCCCATATTCTGTTCAGGAATAGTAGTTTATAAGAAAGCTAGTTCATGAGTGCAATGAAATTGTGATGATGTGCATCTGTGAAGTGTCGGAAGAGTGAGAGTAGCTCATTAACAATGAAAGAAATACTAGATAAATCCTTATGAATTGTAAAACAGGTTTTATTTTTAATTTTCCTTTTAGTTGAATTGATAACATAAAGTGGTACCAGACTGGTTGAAAGTCTTACAATACCATAGAGATAGCTTTGGAATCCACTTATGGTATAAAGGGAGAGCCTTTTGTTCTATTTAGCTATACTGTTGTCTGTGGGTGCCATTAAGTCCAAAGGGTGCACATTTGCATGATGCTGGTTTTCCTTCCATGACTTGTGAGTGCAACCGGTCAAGTCCCAGATTGCAGAAGGTGCTTTCAGGAGCCACTTGTTCCTAATGCATTGTAACAGAGTAAGTATCTTGTAATGAAAAGAATGTCTTGCTGTTTAGATAAAAAGGGTATAAGTTGTTACTGCTCCCAGTATGAAAGTCATTGAAATGCATTCAGTAATACTGATAGGTTCAAGTTCAGAGCAGCCCCAAGAGTTCCTGCCCTAAA